GCTTCAGAGCACGTTCACCAGTTAACTCCTGCTTCAGAGCACGTTCACCAGTTAACTCCTGCTTCAGAGCACGTTCACCAGTTACCTCCTGCTTCAGAGCATGTTCACCAGTTAACTCCTGCTTCAGTAGATTTGCTGCAGGAGATGAGCGCCATGTTGGCTGCAGTGAATCTGTCATTAGTTCTGAAATAGACCAGACAAAGACAGAAAGGGTCCATGCAGCAGACGGCAGCTCGTGGCAGAAGAGTGCATCCTCTGCAACATGTGGTCGAGCTTCATCAGTTTTTGTTTTTAGAGCGAGCTGCAGGTCGTCTAACGCATCGGTCACAAGACAGCGAGTGCTGAGCTGTAGTCTCAGAGGAGGTTTCAGTTGAAGTGAAGCTAACCACAAACTTCCTCCTCAGCTCTCTGCAGAGGTTTAACTTCTGCTGTAGGCCTCGCTCGGCTCCTCACTGCTCACACTTTTTATCCGTACGTTAGGTTTGAAATGACTCAAGTTCACAAAGTTCTGAGCTTCCAGAACATCGGGCTTCATGAAGCAGGGCAGGTTGTTGCAAGCAGAGATGCAACACTGAGTTCCAGTAAAGAAAACTTTATGGATTTAAAATAGTTTCCAAATATACACAGTCTGAAAGGATTTTTGTTTTGTCCAGTTCTAAAAGAATGAATAAAAGTTTATCTTGGGCGTCTCCACAGGGAGGCTTTTACCTGAGAGGTGTGGTGAGGCAGCTGGTGGATCTCTGGGCGTGGAGGCTCAGTGGTTCTCGTCTCAGGTGGTCCTCAACGCCTGACAGCAGCGCTCTGACTCGGCTCAGAGAGCAGGGCGACAGCTCATCTATTCAAATCGAAGAGGAAGGAAGTGACATGCAACACTTCAGAAACAGGAATCAAAGAGATTTTGTCTTTATATGGCAATGCACGCTGTCAGCTAAGGTGAGCTCCCACACCCACTTAAGGGGTTCTCAACGGATCTCTCAGGACCCCAGAGACTGCTGTGTGTGTGTGTGTGTGTGGGGGGGGGGGGGGGGGGGGTGGTACAGTTGACTCTAGATAAAATACTCACATCACACCTGAAACAAGGCAGTTACACTGATGAAATACCAGGTTTTTGCAACATAAGATGAAAATAAATTATTTCAAAATGTTCCCCACTTTTCATGAAACAGTTTTTGTACAACTTTACTGAAAAACACAAAAGTTTGTCAGAGGAAAAAGATGTCAAAAAAGTTAGACGCTGGTTGGGTTGTACTTTGGTGAGGCACTTTCTGATTAAAGTCCAGCCTTCGTCTGCAGCCACAGCTTGATTTGGTCACATGACCACTCTTCTTCTAGAAGTGGTCCAAGCCGTCTTCAGGTCAAAGGTCACACTGACCCCAGCATCTTAAATCCTTCGTTGTCTTCTCAAGTCATTCTTTGCTGGTTTCAGTGTGTGCTTGGGGGTCATTGCTGTTTAGAAAAATTTAATTCCTCTTCCTCC